TTGGGCGAGAAAACAGTTGGAACGATATTATCCATTTTTGCTTGGATAAGACTCATCTAGCAGGAGTGAGAGTACCTACAGCGAGTGGTTCAGAATGACTAGTCTTCCTTGAGTGAGACATATCTCACTTAAACGAGATCTCTTATAATTTTCATATTTAATTTTTTTTATTTAAAATCAAAATAAAATAATAATTAAAATAAATATGTGATAATAAAAATAAGAATGTTACACAAACTATCTCGGTAAATTAATTTTCAATTTTCATAGCCTATCATCACAATTTATATAAAAAAAAACACAAAAATAAAGTGTATAAACATGTCAAAATTTCACAACAAATTAGATCTATAGACTGATGTACAAATACATAATTTATACTTAAATGTAGAAACATAATTTTTTTATAATTAATTCTCACAAATAAATATTTTTAAACTAATTGTTCGCACACATAACACATACAAATTCAGAAAACAGGAATATATGTAATTAGCATCCTTGAAAATACATTAAAAAAAAAAAAGCAAAACAGCATTGCATAGTCCTATCTAATGTTAGTATGCATACCAAACTAAAGCTTTTTAAACAGATTAAACATCTGAATCCTCCTCGTTAGCTTGTGGGATGGTAAAAGTCCTATCTAATGATAACACTGTTAATAATAAAAATAACTTTAATAATGAGTAATTTTTAAATTGTTATAAAGAAATAAAAATTAGCATGAAAAAAATATCGAATTACCTCACTTTAACTTCTTAAACTATTCCAAAAACTCTTCAAAATTAGTTGCAATTGGAGTGGATTTACTTAAATAACTCCTATATTGATTAAGAATTGTGTCTCTTGTATAACACTCCAAATGCGTACCGGTAGTTTCTTTGACTTACAAATAAAAGTAGATTAAATTTTTTGTGATTAAATATTTATTTTATTTTTATTGATTTTCATTGTTTTTTGTGATTGGTTGACCTATTGCCTGTTCCTTTAATCTTAATGAGTATGAATTGAAAATTTTATAAAATATTAAGCTTTTAGTAGAGTTAATCAGTGAGTTAAATTCTTTAAATCCTTGAACTATAAAATGCTGCACCCTAAGCTTTCATTTTTTAATAAATTAAAGCCAAAAAAAAATAAAAAAATCCCCTCCTAAGTTTAGTGGAACTACACTCACCCTTTTAAATTTGCTTGTTTGAAGGAAATTGTCCTGGCAACGGAACCTAACATTCCTTATTCTGGAACACTATCTTAAAAGGACAAGGTCCAGTTGGCTAGGAGCTCATATATCCTGCAATGCATAAATCCACTCAATGCAATATGACACATCACAAATAAATATTTGACTTAAAATTTTGGACAGCCACACATGCACATGTCACACTGCACCAAGATTTATTATAAGCCATGCTAGCTAATGACGTATGAATGGTGTTCCATCTCTTGTTCTCCTTGGCCGTGCAAGGCAAGGACATCTAGTGGCCTAGGAGAGGGTACATACTATACCATGTCTTGCCTCTGTCCCTCCCAACCAATATGAAGTCATGCATGTTTTACTTTCAATCAATCCTAGATTTTTCCATGATTGTCCCAATCTCCATGCACCTACTCATTACACTCACTTCATCCTTAACATTTCCACGAGAGATCAATCACCATAAAACACCACCTTGCGTGCTGAACCGAGAGGACTACTAAGGCATTGTACAATTATAAAATATATTTTAAATTTCTTATAACGATTTATAAATTTTATGTTACGTACTAAACCAATATAATAGGATGGCACTAGAATAATTTTAACAATTTTATGTAATAATTAATATTTATTCTGTATTTTAAATATTGGCCGATGCAAATTAAATATTATTATACAAAATTTTATAATATTTTATTCAAGAACAATTATAAAATTGTTCTATAAACCTATTAGAATGATTTATAAGCATTGTTTATTTTAATTTTAGGCAACATTTAATAATTGAAACTATTTAGTTTTCAAGAACAATTTTAATATGTTGAAAACAAAGGCATTGTTGTATATATAAAATGTTGTAGTGTTTATTAAAAATATGTCCCTTTCTTTTAACTTTAAAACCTAATTCTCACAAATGTACCATTAATTGACTATAATTTTTATTTAACAAAAACTATTAATTTAAAGTTTGTAAAATTATTTTAATAGTATAATGTTTGATATTAGTAAAGCACATACTATATTTTAATGGCTAAATCACATACCATATTTTGAAATTAGTCATCCATCTCATTTTAATTATTTGCAACTGAATTTTATGATAACTAATTTAATGGCTAAATAACTCTGACACATTTTGTGATCGAATTAGCAATCGACCTCATTTTTTAAATTTGTGACTAAATTTTTTGGTTGCTAATTCAGTTATTAAATTTTATTTTTTATTTTTAATATTTATGATTAATGTATTGTTGCTGATTTAGTCTCTAATAACATGGAGTTTGTTTGAGAGGTAAAATTTGGTCGCTAATTGTCCCTAATTGCTTTTTGTGGTTAAATTCGTTCTCTAATACCTACAAAATTTGTTTATAGGCTAAATTTGTTTGTTAATTACCACTGATTGCTTTCAGTGGCTAAATTCTAGTTACGTGCTCTCTAAAATCGAATCTCAAAAGCAATTACACATGGAATTGTTCTTCAAAACATATTTTAATTTTAAATATTTTTTCTACATGTCAATCATTCTCTAAATTAAGAATTTTAGAGAGCTGTTAATTTGATAGAACACAATTTTTAAATAATTGCTCTTTAAGTAAGTTTTCTAGAGTAGCTTTATAATAATCGCTCTTGAAATACTTCGTACATATTAGTGCTCTTTTAACCACTTTTTAAGTTAATGAACTACAACGTATAATCTTGCAACGCAGTAAATAATTCTTATAATCATAATTATTATGATAATAAATATATTAATTCTATCAATAATCAATTATTTTCTTGTCATGATTGTTGTTGTCATTTATCGCATTTATTTTTACGTGTGTATTTACATAAATAGTTAGATTCACTTAAAAATTGCATGATTCTTCTTGCACATGATTTTGATTTGTTAATATAACAAAATCACTCTAGCTACTTAATAATTTTTAATATATATATATATATATATATATATTTAATAAATTGAATTGTTAAATTATAAGATATAAGTTGGTGATGACACATGCTAAATTTTGAATAATTTAAGTATTTATAAATGTGTAATTATATATATATATATATATATATATTAAAAAGTATATTATCATCGTAAAATATATAAAGTTAATTATAAAATATGAAATAAAATTTAATTATTTAAAATTTTATACATTTAATTCACTCGATTGAAAATATTAACTCAATAGTTGCATAAATAAAATTTATTGTAACTATTATTCAATACTATTAGGTTTTTTTTCAGCAACTTTAAATCAATTCTTTGCATGATTATAATCTAACAATTATTTCTCGATTTATCAAATTATGATCTTTATATGAAGTTCAAGAACTTATCAAATTATGATCTTTACATGAAGTTCAAGAACCTAACCAACTAATAACTCTACAAACTCATTCCTAACATTTAGAATTATTAGGTGATATGATTCAGATTAGACTTAGAAAATATTTCCAATTGAAATCAAAGTCAAAAATTAAAAGACGAGTGATCAGTTCATCTAAAGCCTTAAGAGCAGAATCACAATTACTAACATTGAATAATAGATATCATAAATATAATAAAAAAAGAATATAAGAGAGTTTGACGAATTAAATTCAATCTCAATAAAAAAAAGTGATTTAGCTACTCACGGTGATGAGTGTCAATCCTAGAATACAAGAGAGAATATAGTAGAAGAAGATGAAATGATGAATCTCTTTGTTTCCAGGTTGAATCTCCAGCTCCGTGGTCTTTAATTTTTTTGTTTCTCTACTCGCCGCCACTGTTCTCCCTCTATTTTCTATATATACCATCTGGAGAGAAAGTGAACTGCTCAGTGCTTGAGAAACGGTTTAGAGAATTCTTCATGATTAAGAAATTTAAACCGCTGAACTCCTGGAACATCATTGGGCGCTTCAAAGGCTGAGACCTTCATCCTCTTTGGAATCAATCCACTCAGCACCTATAAAACAGCTAAGCAGTTGTGACATGCTTCCAAACGTTGCTCTCTTACTCAAATTTACTTAGCACTTTCCCAAAAGTTGAGTCGTTGAGAAACTTCAAATCTTCTAAACACTTTTCAAGTTCTATAAGGTCAAAATAAAAAAAAATTAATTTTAAAAGCCAACAACTCTAGACAAAATACAATAATTACATCTATTTTTAAGTTTCTTAAAGATAAAGGGGTTAAAAATAAAATTTCTATTTAAATCAAGTTCTTAAATATTTAAATACCGGTTAGAATTTATAGAAAATAGACAATTTAACATTCACATGTCAAATTTTAAATAATTTAAATATTTATAAACGTGTAATTTTATATAGATTTATATTTTAGAAAGTATATTATTATTGTAAAATATATAAAGTTAATTATAAAATATCAAATAAAATTTAATTATTTAAAATTTTATAAATCTAATTTGCTCAATAGATGCATAAATAAAATTTATTATTCATAAAATATTATTGTAGTACAAATATTCCTTGTGAAAGAAAGAGATACAAATGTGAGTTTAAAGAAAGAAAAGAAAAAGGTTATAGAGGGGGTAACATGGACATGGTTTGTTCCCCAAATGAAAATATGGATGTAGTTAGTCCGTTGCGCTTGGCATGCGGCTAAATTAGTGTAGATTGGGTTCCAAATTTGGCGGGAAGGATAGATATAGAGAGGGAGTTTCTATTTGTTAAGGGTTTATGGAGGAGATTGGTTTATATATAGACGGCAAGCGTCTGATGATTGATAATTTGCAGTGAAAGGAGGAAATGGCCGATCGATGATTAATAACGGTAATCGATCGATGTGATCGGGAGAGGGAGAGGGAAATGAGCTGCTTTTGTTCTCGTGGAAAGGATGTGAGCGTCAATAATTTAGGGTCAAAGTCCAACTCCAAGAGAGCTACGGCCACGAGTTTCAGTTTTCGCCAGCTTGCATCGGCAACAGCAAGTTTCAAGGAAGTGAATTTGATTGGGGAAGGAGGTTTTGGAAAAGTTTACAAGGGTCGTCTCCCAACAGGCCAGGCAAGACAAGTTTAATCAAACCAAATCACAATAATTCACTTAATTTCATCCTCTTTTTTTCATTAATCTCTGCTTCTCTGTTCCTCAGGTCGTTGCTATCAAACAATTACGTCTAGATGGAGATGGTCATCAAGGTCATCGGGAATTTGTCACCGAGGTCCTTCTGTTAAGCCTTCTCCATCATTCTAATCTTGTTAAATTAATTGGTTACTGCACCCATGGAGTTCAAAGGCTTTTGGTTTATGAATACATGCCTATGGGAAGCCTCGAACATCATCTTTTCGGTAATCATTCACTTGTTTAATTTTCTCAATTTATAGGATGGATCTATTATTTGACATGGATATATGACTGTACGTGTTGCGATATTTGTCTTTTCAGATCCTAACTCTCAGAAAAAACCACTAAGTTGGACTACTCGAATGAAGATTGCTGTTGGAGCTGCCAGGGGCCTCCAATATCTCCATTGTGAAGCAGCTCCACCTGTTATCTATCGTGACTTGAAATCTGCCAACATTTTGTTAGACAAGGATTTTAACCCAAAACTCTCAGATTTTGGGCTCGCTAAACTGGGACCTATTGGAGATAACACCCATGTTTCCACCAGAGTCATGGGAACATACGGCTACTGTGCCCCCGAATACGCCATGACTGGCAAATTAACTCTTAAATCTGATATCTATAGCTTTGGTGTCGTCTTGCTAGAGTTGATCACTGGACGTAAAGCGATAGATGTCAGTAGAAAACCACGGGAGCAAACCTTAGTTTCATGGGTAAATGTCTCTTTTTTCTTTTTTTCTTTATATATTCCACTGATTTCTTTTTAAATCCGTATACTTTAAAAAAAACCATATATTTCTTTTTATTTAGAGTTTTAAGATCATATCAATTATTATTATCACCATTATTTTAATTAATTCTTATCTTTAGTTATTTGATCTTAAATATATTGCACGTTTATTATAAATGACAAAATAATAATAATAAAAAAGAAATAAAAAGTTCAAAATTATTTCTATATATATAAAAATATTAATTACATTTATTACTTTATGTGTTATTTTAAATAAATAAAAGACGTGTAAAAAAACATATAAATGCATTTGTGTTTGTAGATTTCAAAAAACAATGTCCCCTTCCTTTACTATCCTTGCATAGTTTTGCTTTTTCATTTAAGGGCTTAATTTTGCATTCCCGTCTCCAATAGCATATTGAGACTCCCTAAACCTCATGTATCGTTTTATTGCGCAAAGTGTGTGGGGTTAAAAGTAAGATCTGTTTCCTTGCAAAAGGACTGGCTTGTGATAATTGGGTGCTTCCTGCCCTCGCCATAAACCATAACAATTCTTACGTGGGATATTTTTGGCATGCATGTATGTTTCTAAATAGACACTGATATTTTCACATCCTTGAAGTGTGTTAAATGGATGAAGGTAATAAAGGTGAGATAAAAAAAGAAGATTAATATGAATGAAATGTAAGAGAAAATTAATAATTGCGAGAATATTATCATTATTATTTCTGAATTGAACTAGTACATTTGTAATTTTTATTTCTCAAACTTGTGTGTTTGTGATTTCCAGTCTCGTCCATTTTTGAGTGACCGCAGAAAGTTTTCGCAAATGGTTGACCCTCTTTTGGAAGGAAAATACCCCGTACGTTGTTTGCATTGTGCAATTGCTGTGACTGCGATGTGCCTCCAGGAGCAGCCCAATCTTCGTCCACCCGTTGGTGATATTGTTGCTGCATTGGAGTACTTGGCCTCCGAGAGTAATTAGTGTCCATGAAGGTGTGCGCAGCACCCACTACTGCAACCACAATCAGAAACGGATATAACATAATTTTCAAAGGAACCCGATTCTAAATTTATTCCAACGTTTATCTCTTGATTTTGGAACAGGCCTCATCAGTTTAATCAGCGTAAGCTACCAACTTGCCTATTTTGGAAGTTAAAGCATTATCACGTTAAATAAATATGTTGTCACAGCTATATATATTGACGAAAAAACTAATTGCCATGCGTAGAGATGGAAACAAGTAAGACCTGGCCCCTCTCCCAAAGATATATATACTTAAACTCAGCAATACCATAAGTAATAAACCTATTGCCATAAAAATGAAAGTAAACCGATTGTCAAGCCAGCATTTGAAAAGTGTGTGTTTTGATTCACTTTTAGTTGATTACATATTTATCTTTGCTCTATATAGTTGTAACTTTTGCGTCAATCTAATTTAATTTAATGCCTATTTTAACATGATTCCAAACATGCTATACACTCTCCAGGGTGAAGACTCATGATTTGTTATTTTAGCACTTGTTTTGTTGGAGTGGTGTTACTCATTTGCGGTTTTCGAAAAATAATCTTCTAAAGTAAATTTATTTGTAAAATGAGACAATAATAAATCAAATTGATAATAAATAATTTTTTACTTTCTCACTTGTTTTTTAGGTCAAGAACTTTCTCACTTTATAAATAAACTTATTTTATCCAAAAAGAAAAGGGCCTACAGAAAGCTCAAACTAAAAAAAAATAAAAAAATAAGCACTTTTTTTTTGTCATAAATAAGCACAATCTTAAATGGTAGCCACACGCCACAGAAAGTGTAAACGGGCCTACAAACATCCTAGGCTCCAAATCTAAACGACCAGGCCAGGAAAACTAAAACCATTACATGACAACCGTTCTAGAAATTAATTTTTAAAAATAACTTCTGAAATTTAATTTTAAAAGTAATTAATACCTTGCAGAATCTAATTTCTAAAAGATGAAAAGCAAAGAATAATATGGTTAAGAAAATGCAGGGCAAAGAGGAATCTCCTTACAACAAGTATGAAATATTCATTGTTGGGCCTTAACAAATTCAATATCCATTGGATTTGTAAACTAACTTTAGGAAGTTGCTTTTTGTACCCCTTTTTTTTTTTATTTCTTTCAACACCTCATTAAAATTTATATTTTTCTAAATATTCTTCATGATGATAAAAAAAAAATTCTTGAATTTTTTCTTATTATTTTCAATTTTAGTGCGAAATTTCAAGTTTGAAAATATGTCTAAAATTGACTTTTGAAAATTAAACTTCGAAAGTTTGTATAGAAAAATATTTATTGAAACTTAGGTTTGGAAACATGCATAAAAATGATTAATTTCGAAAGAGGAGAATCTTAATTCTAGAAACTTATTTCTGAGAATAGTTAGTAATTCTTCAAATTAATTTCTAGAAGTATAAAAAAACTAATTTTGAAAATTAATTTTTGAAAGTGTGAAATCCTAATTTCAAAAACTTATTTCTGAAAATGTGGAAACATAATTTTGAAAATTAATTTAATTTCTAAATATTTTGTGAAGCATAAAATCCTAATTATTGAAAATTATTTTTTAAAAAATTAATAATTTTAAAGTTAAATTTCTAAAACTGTGAAAGCTTAATTTTAAAATTTAATTTTCAAAGTGTAGAATCCTAATTTTAAAAGTTTATTATAAAAAATTGTTAAGGTTGACAGGTCAATGAAGACATTATTTTAATAATAAATTGAATTTAAAGAGTAATAATGTTTAAAATACTATGAAGAACGTGACGACGAAAGAATAATAAACCTTGAAGCAATAAAAGCAATAACGAAATGCAAAAGAGATGAAAAGTGAAAATAAAAATATATATAATAAAATCTGAAAAAATAGAAAAAGTTAAAGGTTGTTTAATTTTAAAAATTATTTTTATTTTTATTCAATAATTTAAATTTTTGTTAAGGATATTTTAAGAAAAAAATATAAAAAAAAATCATTATGCTCTAAAAAGAAAAAGAAAAAGAAAAAGAATAGGGAGGTGCAAAACGCAACCCCTGTATTTCCATAGAAAAAGATTGACAACATATATACAGTATTGAACAAAAAATAATGACCATATATAGTAAATACTTTTTATCCAAGACCATCTTTATCATATTTCTTGCGTGTTGTTTATCTCATTTCTCTCAAATTTCAATATCCCCGTCTAAATTAAATTACTTCTACAAGCAACTCAAAAAGGTGATTACTTTTTTTTTTTTTTAAATTCTTTTTTCATTAGAAGCACTGGCCAACTTTCATTTGCAAGAAGCGGATTCCTAAACTCAAGCGTTTTATGTCTCATGTCCACAACTGCGTCAAAGTTACAAAGAGATAAAATGATAGAATAAAGTTTATTTGAAATATAAATGAAAACTAAATGGTAGGTGAACAGAGAATAATGGATTCATAGAAAGTCCATATCTTCATCCTTATCACGATGGACAATTGGACATATATTATTTAGGTTGAGACAAGTCAGGCAGTTGAATTCATGAGATAAGCAATATACAACACTGTAATAGAAGAAGGACCAATCCTTTCAAACTGATACAATGCCAGAGACTTTTCACCGGTCGTACATTTGCACGGTTGCGACAACTAATCTTAGAAGCTTGGCTTCAAGTTCAGGTGCGATGCTATCTTTTGACCAAGAGAACGGTCAGCCTGCATAGCAATAACATCCATGGACGTCACATGAGCACCTAACTGATATATCTTTTACACTCTTGTGCCTAAGGTGTATATTTAGGAGTTGAATTTTGGAAGTAAAAGGTGAAGAGGACATATATTTTATTTTTAAATTTAAATAGTTATATGATTTTTATAAAAGTAAATAAAATATGAATGCATAACGTTTATGTTAATCTATCATTTTAAAGCTTTTATTTCAAAAAAAATTATGAATTTAAAGATGTTAATTAGAAATAAAAAATTACCCTCCCCTCTTTCCCTTTAAAATCTGACTCCCAAAACACCCTAAAACTTTTTTTTTAGTTCAAGGTGCCCACCACTGAGGTGGTCCCGACGAGTGTCCATCATGGACCAAGGGAGAAGAGGGAGGGGATATGGGTAATTGGGAGTGGACAAGAATGCTGAGGATCAAACTGTTGTACTCTCTTTAATGTCCCATGAACTGTGTCAAGGGTACTCTTTAGCCTATAGTTTTACAGGGCAAATTAGCATGTGTGAAAAACTCACCTGAGACCAGTATGATATCCAGATGCTGCGGATTTCATGGGTGACACGGGGATCAGATAAAGCCTCGACCCATCGGCGGATAAATCTTTCTTGCCTAAAATGAAATCAGAAAACAGCAAAGGATGCCCCATTGTTAGACATTGCCAAACATATTTCATATCGATCATATCAACAATTTATGAAAGGAACCTGTCAGGGGCCCAGGTTCGGAATCTCTCTCCAGGTTGCTTGAAGTTGTTCTCCTTCTCAATCATGCACTGCAATAAGCAAGAGTTGTTTACACATTTCTTCCCTAATTAAAGTAGTTTTTAACAATTTTATAAGCATTTTTTTTAATCTGATAATTGAAACATAATCATTAAGCTCTTCTATGCAAAAGCAATAATATAAATAAATACAATCCTAACCTTTATACTAAGCCTTGCTTTATCAACCAATGATACCAATTCAACATATCAACGTATTGGTTCTACTTTATTTCCTCACTGAAGATCATATTTTCAGTGTACTAGCCACACAATATTTATCAAGAAGAATATGTCTAATAAAGATATTCTCTATGCAAATCTCATTGCCTTCTTGGAAAAGTGAAGTGATCAAAAAATATTTTATACCTTCACTACTAAGCAATTGATCAAAACTAACCTTTTCACGCTTCCCATTAAAGCTTCGAGGAGGAATGGGGAACCTTTCTGCATGACGAACAGTGTCATACCTTGAAGGGAAGTAATTCACCTATAAATCAGTATCACTCAGTCATTAGGGAATAAAATGCAAACAACTAAAGCATGAGTTGGAATATCACGGAACGAGTTAAGGTCCATCAGGTAGTTAACCGGCCTCTTATCCAGAAGGATAAGAAGAAAAAATTACCTCTTCATCCCTGTGCATGAAATTCATGAAACCTTCATGGTGATTGTTGTGATAGGCACACTTGGGAGCATTAACAGGAAGCTGCAGATAATTTGGTCCAAGTCTGTGTCTCTGACTATCAGAATAGGAGAATATTCGGGTCTGAAGCATTTTATCGTCTGAGTAGTATACACCAGGTACCACAATGCCAGGGCAAAATGCAACTTGTTCATTCTCAGCAAAGAAGTTATCTATGTTCTTATTCAAGACCATGCGGCCAACTGGCTGCAGGGGCAAAATGTCTTCAGGCCAAGTCTTAGTTACATCAAGCGGGTCAAAGTCAAATCTGTCTTCATGATCAGGATCCATTGTTTGGACGTAAAGTTTCCACTCAGGATAGCTTCCAGCAGCAATTGAATCATAAAGGTCTTGGGTGGCGTGGCTGTGGTTGGATCCTCCAACCCTAATGGCCTCCTCTTCCAACAGACACTTCACACCAGAAGTGGTTTTCCAATGAAATTTGACATAGTGTACTTTCCCATCCTTGTTGATAAGGGTGTAGGTGTTAACACCAAAACCATCCATATGCCTGTAATCTTGGGGGACACCTAGATCATCAAATAAGAAGGTGAACATGTGAAGGCTTTCGGGATGGTGGGAGAAGAAATCAAGGATCCTCCAATTCTCCTGGATGTGGGACTTGGGATTGGGCTTTAGAGCATGGACCATATCGGGAAACTTCATGCCATCACGAACGAAGAAGACTGGCAAGTTGTTTCCCACAAGGTCGAAGTTCCCCTGCACGACATAGTATCCTTTTTCAGTTGAAGAGTAGATTATTTGATAGCAAGTACACGGTAGTGAATGAATGCAAAGCAATGCTGACCTCTCTGGTGTAAAATTTGACAGCGAAACCTCGAGGATCCCTCAAGGTTTCAGGGCTGCCACGCTCGTGGATAACAGTGGAGAAACGGACAATGACAGGGGTCTGAACTCCGGGAGCGCGAAGGAAATCAGCACAGGTGAGGTGAGAAATGTCATGCGTGACTTCAAAGAAACCCTTTGCACTTGCTCCCCTGGCATGGACAACACGTTCAGGGATCCTTTCCCTGTCAAACTGTGCAAGCTTCTCCACAACATGATAGTCTTCAAGAAGAATTGGACCTGCCAAGGCAACAAAGCACAAACATTTTTTTTTATCATTTATTAACCTAATTCCTAATTCAACGACCCACTGGTACCTCTAGATCCGAGAGTCAGTGATGAGTTATTGTTCCAGACAGGAGCACCGGAATTAGTAGTCCAGAAGGAAGAATTGAAGGCGCTGGATGGGCGATGCTGCATGGAAAAGAACAGACCCACACCAGTCACTCACCTCATTTCTCAATCTACCCAATTACTTCATTTTCAACTAGCCTGGCTAGTGGAGGGATGCTATATTGATATCCAACTAAATCTAAATAAACAACACGCAAGTTGAAATATCCAATCTAATCTCAAATGAAAGCAAACCTTGTAGGGATCCATCGCTTCCTGGCTCCGCAGATGAAACGAAGTGAGAGGAGAAGATATAGAAATTATTTTCAGTTCGGCAATCACAAAGTCTACGCCCACGATTTTATACAGCCAGGCTTTTCCTTCTTTCCACTTTCAGTGCTTATCCTCTTCTGTTATTAAATTATCCATTTTGTTATCCTCAATTTTAAATTTTTCCTTTAACCATATAAAAATATCAAATTTTGTTAAAAAATATAATATTTATTATAATTATATAATTTTTAATGAAAATGATAAATCTTTTTTTTAACAAATATCTAACATTCTTAGTTATTTATCTTATTTTTAAAAATTGAGATTAAAAAAAATTGTTGAGGAAAGATTTTTTAAAAATAAAATAAATGACATGTTTTTTAATTTTAAATTAAAAATTATATATTATTTATGATAATGATTTTATAATTAATATATTAAATTTATTTTAATTTATTATTTTATATATTTTATTTCAAAACATATTAATTTAAAATATCTTTATTAAAAATAAAATTTTTATCTTTTTCTATTTTTTTAAGTTAATGTTTAAATGAAATAAATAAAAATATTTCATTTATTTGGATAAGTATTATAATATTAAATTATATTAAAATATTCATAAAAATTTAAAAGTATTTTAAAAAATAATTTTTTATAATATCTTTAAGAAAAAATATTTATTATATTAATATTTAAAAAACAAAATTACTAGAATATCACTTTTAAAATATTACCTGAATATAGGTTTTTTTTTTGAAAAAATGCTAGTGGTAATTTTTTAAATTAAAAGTAATTAAACAAACGTTGTCAATGAAAAAAATTTTAAGACAATAATTTATTTTATATTTTCAAAAATTATTAAATTTGAATTTTTAAAAATAATAAAAATAAGAGCTAAAAATTATCACTAGCGAGTTTTAAATAAAAAATAATTTTTTTTGTAAAGAAAAATTATTAATAACAAGTTTTGAAAGTAAAATTACCATTGAAGTTTTTTAAAATCTTGTTTTATAAATAAGCATTTGTTATTTGAAGCGAATTATACTTTAAGCTTTCCATTTCATTTTTCTAAAATTTTCTATTTCATTTCTTTGTATCTTACCATTTTATTCTTTATTTCTATTATTTTATAGTTTAGGATACAATAGTACTTTAATGATGAGATTGTTGTAAATATGAATAAATTTGTCAAATTTACACGCGTGAGAAGTCAACGTGCATGTATATTTCTTATAATTGTCTATCACAAGTGTGTTGTAAGCTACAAGTGTTTAATCTCTATTTTTGAAGATTTCATGCAATACTAAGGAATTGCAATAAACAACAATTTGATACTTAACAAATGTTTTAGATCCATCACTAGTTTTAAATCTATCACTAGTGTCATGTCAAAACTCCTATCATTGAGTTGTATATTATTTTTAAACAAATTACAATTGGTGTATCTAAAAAAGGTAGGGATCATGAGGATGGAGCTTATGTCCTAATGCTTGGTAGAATGAGAATAGAATAACATCGAGAGTAATAACAACAATTTGAAGAAGATTATGGAAGCAAAGAGGATAGTCATGATGAGGATGTAGATGATAATGTAAATAATGAGGACTCTCATCTATCAAACTCATGATTGACCAACATCGATTGAGTAGTCATTGCTTATGCTTGCTTTAAATCTTAATGTTATGTAAGCACCTAAATTCAAAGAGTGGACTACAAAGTTGTGCAACAAAAAGACTCTAACATATTGAAATATGCAATCAATAGATAAGACATTCTGTCTTGGTATAAGAAAATGGGTTTCTTACAATGACAAGAGGCTACAGTAGCATCGGCTATTAGCAAGTATAGAAATATCAGAATAATAGTGAATCCAAGAGAGAGAAGAAGCAATAGAGAGAGAAGTTACATCAGCAAGTACCCCACACCCTTTCCCTCTCACCTTTCTCTATATTTAAAATCCCACTACAAAATCGTGGAGCAGAGAATTCATTATTCTCTTTCTCTCACTTTTGTGCACTTTCATTTTCTTTCGATCATGTTCCATCTGTCCTTTACCTATAACTAATTGTTGATCATCAAATTTGGTGACTTGTTCTGCCTCCACAACATCTTCCAATTCACCTTCCATGTTGGCATTAGGCTTTATTGGTCCGTTACATTTCTCCCCCCATTCAAACGAACCTTGTCCTCAAGGTTAAGGTTAGGATAAATTTGCTGCATCACTTCAACATCTTCCCATGTAGCATCTTGGGCACTTAAACCTTCCCATTGTATAAGTACCTGGGAAACCTGAATATTAGCTTTCATAATAACTCTAAATTTTAGCGAGGCAACAGATTGCAAAGTGGACCGTCTTCTATTGTTGTCAACGATAAAGATACATAAGGATTGGAATTCATTCCTTTAAATGGTTTCAACAGAGATATAAAAAACTGGATGTATTTTAGCATACTCAAGAAGTTGTACCTTGTACACAGCAAATCCAAATCCTATGTAATACTTTGAATGGTCCAAAATAACGCATTCCTAGCTTTTGGTACTTCTTAAGAGATAATGAGAGTTGCCTATATATGGTTGGAGTTTCACCAAGACTAAATCTCCCAATTTAAATTCTAAATGTCTTCTCTTTTTATCAGCTTGTATTTTCATATACTATTGAGCTCGAGTCAAATTCAATTCAATTGTGCCATAATTGCATCCCTTTGTTGCAACAACGCTTGTAAAGTTGGGGGATCCTCAACATCTTGATTATTCTTAGAGTAGGGGGATCTCTGCCATATACTGCTTTAAAAAGGGTCATTCCCAAACGTCCATGGTACGCAGTATTGTACCAATATTCTGCCAAGCTAAAGCCTTGAACTGGCTTTTTGGATTCTAAAATGCAAAGCAATAAAGGTACATTTCCAAGTTTATTCAAAATCTCAAATTTCCCATCCAATTGTGGATGATATGCTGATAGTCTATCAACTACCAACATTACAACTATATAACCAAAAGAATTTAGTAACCTAGTGAGAAAATCCATAACCACATCTTCCCATATTTGATTGGAAATAAGCAAGGGTTGGAGCAACCTTGTAGGGGAAGTAGTCATGATTTTTGCATGCTAACATATGACATAATTTTGAACAAAACTTCTAACATTATATTTTATTCATGGCCAATATAATTTCCCTTTGATTCTTGTTGTTGTTCTAACAATTCCAACATGTCCCCTAATTACTGAACTGTGAAACTCTTCCAAAATCTCCTTAATCAAAGACTCATTGGCAGGAATGACCAATCTTATCTTTTCTTCTAATATAGCACGTGATCTCTAACTGCAAAATAAGGGTCAGTTTGCTTATTCGCCAAGCATAACTCTGATTGCTTCCTTAATTCAACATCAGTTAGTACTGCTATTTTTAGTTTGGTTATAAATGATGATTTGAACTCAAACTAAGCCAGCAAAAAAGATCGAGAGACCATCTGCTGCAACATTCTCTTTTCCAGGTTTGTACTTTATTTTGAAGTCAAATCCCAGAAATTTATACAACCAATTTTGTTGTTTTGAAGTTTGAATGGGCTGATTTGTCAGATGTTTAAGGCTTTTTTTTTATCAGTTCTTATAGTAAACTGGTGGCCCAGTAAATATTGTCTAAACATGGATAATGCTTCAGTTATAACATACATTTCCATTGCATAAGCAAATTGTTTTTGCATATAAGGGATAACTTCTTAAAGAATTAAGCAATGGGATGTTATTGTTGACTCAATATGGCTCCAATTCCCATGCCAGAGGCATCTGTTTCTAGGATAAATGACTGAGAAAAATTTAGTAACGCTAAAACAAGAGCATGAGTTATAGCAAACTTTAACCTGCCAAATGAATCCTTGGCTTATGCAGACCAAAGAAATCCTTCTTTCTTTAACAAATTTGTCAGGGGCGAAGTGTTCGGAGGGCAAGTGTACCCATCGAGAAGTAATAAAGGGTTCTTAAATTAAGTTCCTGAAATATCGTCCCACAAGGATTGATTTTCAATTACTAAGAATTTCCTAATTCAATTGTTTAAGCTTCAAAGATACGAGATCAATTAAAAATAAGAATTTATAAAATCAATTATAAAACTAAAAGCAAGAATACACTACACGTCTTGGTTAAACTTATCAGAGAGGAACCTAGGGCATATGGGTTTTCTCATTCAATCCTTTATATTATTTTTCTGTTTAACTCTAAATCTAATTTCCTTGTGATTACCAATCATTCATACGAATATTATTAATACTCAATGGTCATGCAATATTAATATTCTTTTCTCTAAATTAATATCCCCAATGGTCATGCAAGACATCAATTTAAGAAAGCTTAAGGAACCTATGAACTTGTTAATTTAATAACGATTAGAAGAGAAAGATTGGTTTGGTCCACCTAATACTTTGTCTTGTTTTACCCTATAGATCTATTAATTAATCGAGGTACGGTCGCCTGACGATATAATTAATTAGGATTAAGAAAGAAGTGCAATAGGAAAAAATCTAATCACATAACAGAAATCAAATTAAGATTCAAACATCAAAATCCCATAAATTCATAAACAATAGTTCCCATAGCCCTAGCTATGGACTTAGTTACTCATGCTAAAGAGAAGAACTAAAACATTCATGAATAAAGCCATAAAGAAAAGAAATAGAAAAACTAAAGTGTGATGAGTTCCCAGTCTTCAAGTACGGTCGCTTGAAGCTCCAAGTCTTGCCAAGCATATGCTAAGGATCCCGTGCAAGAGAGACGAGATGAAAAATGTATTCCAGAGCAAAAGCCAAGATGTAAAAACGGTCCCCCAATGGTGCCTCAGGTCTTCCCTTTAATAGAATTTGAAAACCCTAAAAATTCTTCATAATTGGGCTTTCTGCAGATGAGCACGATCGTGCAAGGCCTTAAGCACGACCGTGCATGGGCTCGAAGCACTCCCGTGCTTTATTGAATGGGTCTGGGCGTGCTGACTGCTGCAAAGCTCTAATCTTTTATCAATTTGAGCCCAAAATGCGCCCAAAATATACTTGCGGCCTCTTTATATCAAACTGTGTAATTAACAACTAAATTAGTATAAAACCCAATTCAAATAAATGTCAAATATGAATAAATGGGCTATAAAAGAGGGCTTAATTATAGACTTAACACGAAACAAGGGCAATATATCCTCTAATAAAATTTCTGTAATACCCTGTGAGTCCCAAAAATTCCCTTAATTGACTCACATTACTAGGTTCTGGCCAATTTAAGATTGCTTCTACTTTGCTCCTATCCATCGTAACTCCCTTGCCAGAGATTGTATGACCCAAATAATCTGTCAGAAATAAATCAAGTTGATCACAAGTTTTTATTAGACCAAATTTTACTTCATGATAAAGTAATTAATTTTATTAGAGTTTCTTGAAGACAACAACATTATAATTATAGGCGCCTACAAAGTTGTATTGCTGCATATAATTCTACAACATGGAAATATTGGAAATTGAAGCTACAGCTACTGATGATTATAGTCTACAAATTGTAATGGTCAAAAGGAAAAGGTTGCACGTTCACATAGCAACAAATTGCTGGACCACTTTCTCTTCCTTCATATATGTGTTTCTTAAATATAATATTATATTAGTTTATAAAGCCTATAAAATAGTCTCTTCATGTATCATGTATAATGCTATCAAGGTCAATGAAATATTCAAAGAAAGTTTTAAAACTCTTCCTCTTAGTTCCTTTCACGTGAATTTTTTTGTGTATTACTGTCTATTTGATTACAAGTTAGTATCAGAGCTGATTAGATCTAGCACTAGTTTTGTGAGTTTGTGAGAAAGTCAGTATTAAAAAATATTGTGTGTGTAAGGAACAAGAGAGTTTTCACTTTATCAAAAGTTTTTTGAGTTCATTTGAGAGAGAGAAATGGCCATAAACTATAATATTGTTTGGTCTTGTCCCAAATTAGATGGGAAACTAGATTATAATTATTGGACATTGTTGAAGTCCACCCATTTGAAATCTCACTATACTTGGAGCTTTATTGAACCAGGCCTACAACAAGGAGCTGATGATCCTATTCAAAGAAAGGACTAGTTGGCGTTATCACAAATTCACCAAGGTGTAGACTATTCAATTTTTGGCAAAACAGCAAATGTCAAAACAGCCAAAGAAGGGTGAGACATTTTGAAACTGTCATACAAAGGAGTAAAGAAAGTTCAGAAATCCAAATTATAATCCATGCGTCGAGAATATGAAAGATATGAAATGTCCAATTTAGAAATCATGGAACAATATTTTTCACGGGTAACAAATCTTGTCAACAAGATGAGGGTATATGGAGAAGATATTCCTGAAAGTAAGGTGGTGGAGAAAATTCTACGTACCATATTGATGAAGTTTGATCATATGGTGACTACAATAATTGAGTCTCATAACACAGACACCATGACAATTACAGAGTTGCAAGGTAGCATTGAAAGTCATGTGAGCAGAATCTAGAAGAAAATTGAAAAAGTAAATGAAGAAGTCTTGAAAAGCCAAGTAAATTTTACCAAGGTAGCAAAATCCAGCCGAAGTGAAAACGATAGAGGTCGTGAAGGTGGAAAGATAAGTTTTAGAGGTAGAGGTTGTGCCAGCATCAGAGGAAGTGGTCTCTCAAATGTTCTACATATGGCCATTGCATCTTGATAGTTTTGAATCATGTATCGTGGACTACTTGTGAATGAAGAAGGCAATACATTTGCATAAAATTGTTTTATTTTTCCTAATCCATCATAGTCGATCTTCTTTTATGGTTGTATATGCATCAACAATATATTGTCAGAATAACTAACGGGCAGAAATAAGAGTCTTTGCTTCAAAGTTTCTTTGTTGTATTTGAAATGCATAGTATTCTCTCATTGTCAAATTGTTTCGTTTTGTTCTATTTTTTTCCATCATTATAAGAATATTGAATGTCTAAGTGAAATCCATCTTTACCATATGGAAATAATACTGGATATTGTATCAGAGCAAGCCCCTCCCAGTACGGTGTGGTTTGAGAACGAATCAAGCAGAAGCTGGAGGGCATGTGAGATTCAGGTGCTAGGTGAGGGCGGGGAGTGATTGCTGGTGCAATGTGGGCATTGACATTGCACGTACAAGGAGTGGTTCCTAGCAGGCTTCTGGCGGTAAGGGGCACATGAATGAATCAAACTTACATCAAAATGAAAGAGATCTAGAGACTGTGTATACAGTGAAGGATAACTTAAAGGAATTGATTAGGACTACCTATACCAATAAAATGCATTTACTTTTTGATGGCTTGTCACTTAAGAACTCCAAAGTTAAGTGTGCTTAGCTTGGGGAACTGTGTGAGTGACGACAAAGCACACTGAAAAGTCTTGTGTTGGTTTATGGGGACAGTCGTCAGTCCTAAATAAGTTGCCGAGCTCTGACGTGGTAGAAATTGTTTGTTGAAATTGTTTGCTAGACTAAGGTTAGAAATGCCCGGTAGAGGTAGAGGAGTTAGAATCACCAATGACCTTCTAGAGCAAATGACCCAAGTTCTAGAGGCCTTGGTGCATGACCAAGATGCGAAGCCGGCTGAGTATAGAGGGTTGTCTGCCTTCACTAAGCACAACCTTCCAAAGTTTGAGGGAAAGTTTGATCCGGAAGGAGCCTAAAGATGGATAGCAAACATGGAGAAAATCTTTCGTGCAATGGGGTACAAGGAAGAGCACAAGGTGACCTACGCCACATACATACTATGTGAGGAGGCAGAAGAGTGGTAGAGGTTTGCTAGTCAGACATGGCCACAAGAGGGTGGCTACATTTAGTGGGAGGCGTTCAAGGTGAGCTTCATGGGGAACTATTTTCCCAAGGATTTGAAGAAGCAGAAGGCCCAAGAATTCCTTAATTTGAAGCAAGGGGGAATGACTGTGGGAGAATATGCAGCGAAGTTTGAGAAACTGATAAAGTACTGGCCTCACTACCAGCATAAGGAGGGAAAAAAGGACTTGTGTGCTCAGTTTGAGCATGAGCTGGGGCCAGAAATTTGTACTGTTGTCAACGTGTTCCACCTGACTGACTTGCCCACTTTGGTGAGCAAGTATAGAATTTTTGAAGTCAATTCGAAAAGCAAGACCGTGGACACTAGGGGGAGTGGTCCAATGAGGTAGGATAGAAGACCCCTTAGGGTCTCAAAGGGGCCGTATTCGAGCTCAAGCCATTCTCAGCCTAAAGGGACTTAGGTGTGGAGGGCCACATATGCTGAGAGACTATTCTCAGCCACAGACTAACTGTGGCAATTGCAAGAAATTAGGACACATTGCTAATGTGTGCTGGACTACTAAGAAGAGTGGCAATAGGAGCATATCCCAGAGGCCTGAGTTGAGAGGAAGCACATGGCCGAATACAGGGCCAAAGTTGAGTTTTCTAGAAAGAGCCATTGCTATGAGTGGGTAGAGGCTTCACAATCTGAAGAGTTGATTAGAGGTAAATGTGTAATTAAAGGCAGATTATTGGATGTATTATTTGACTCGAGTGCTACTAACTTATTTGTTTTTGCGGACTATGTGAAGTGTCTGGGTTTGCATGTGACTGAATTGTCGTGCAATGTTGTGGTGGCTACCCCTACGAGTAAGCTGGTCGTAACGTCGTGGGTGTGTCTGGGGTATTCGATAATGGTGCATGATAGGAAATTTGAGGTGGACTTGATTTGTTTACCTCTTTCCCAATTAGACGTTATTTTTGAAATGGATTGGCTAGCTGCTAATCATGTGCTGCTGGACTGTCGAGAGAAGACTTTGATTTTTGGTGCATCGATGTTGGAAATTCCAAGGCTTTTGAGTCAAGGTACGTGAGAGAACACGGTGAACGCTAAGGCCTTTATGGTTATGTTCTCAATAGAAGTTAAAAGTGAAGTGGAGTCAATGTACATGATGATGGTGACAGACTTCTTTGAAGTTTTCCTTGAAGATGTTTTAGAATTGCCGCCTAAAAGGGAGATACAGTTCACGATTGACCTCATTTTGGGGGCAAGCCTGATTTCTGTGGCTCCTTATAGGATGTCACCAATAGAGTTGGCAGAGATCAAGAAGCAAGTGGAGGACTGATTACAAAAGAGGTTTGTGAGACCAAGTGTATCACCATGGGGAGCACCAGTGCTCTTCGTGAAGAAGAAAGATAGGAGCGTGAGGATGTGTCTTGATTACAGGTAGTTGAACAAAGTAACAATAAAGAACAAATACCCTCTTACTAAAATTGATGACTTGATGAACCAACTGAGGGGAGTTGCAGTGTTTTCAAAGATTGATTTGAGATTGGGGTACCATCAGATTAGGGTGAAAAATGAGGATGTACCTAAGAGACGACTTTCGGGATGCGGTATAGTCACTACGAGTACTTGGTGATGCCGTTAGAGTGACCAATGCACCAACTGTATTTATGGACTACATGAACATAATCTTCCATGAGTTTTTGGATAAGTCTGTGGTGGTGTTCATTGATGACATCCTAATTTATTCAAAGACTCAAGAAGAACATGCTAATCATTTGAGAATTATTCTGCAAATTTTGAGGGAAAGGCATTTGTGTACCAAATTCTCCAAGTATGAGTTCTAGCTATCTTAAATTAAATTTTTGGGGCATGTGGTATCCAATAATGGAATTATGGTAGACCCTGCGAAGGTGGAAGCAGTAGCTAGATGGCTGAGGCCTACAAATGTGACATAGATTTGCAGTCTAGGACTAGTAGGCTATTATAGGAAATTCATTGAGGGATTTTCTAAAATAGCTTTGCCCTTGACGAAGCTAACTCGCAAGTGATGTGATCCTAGGAGCCAGAGGATCACACATGTATACACTTTTTGTACTGGCTTTGTTCATGTCTAGAATAGTTTGTTTTGAGCCTTGTATTTTGGCCATGGGCTCGGGAAGCCCATTGGACTTTGGGGTGGAGTCTTTTGTATTTTTGTTTGGGCTTATATTGGGCCATGTTTCCAGGCATGTATTCAGCTCAAATCCCTATCCCCTTTCTTTACTTTGTTTTGAGGCCCGTTAGAGATCATTTTGGGCTTTGAGATAGCTTGCCTATATATAGGCTAAGCTCCTATGTAACTTTCAGATTTTAGATTCATTTGATGCATTGTGCATTTTTCTCCTCCATTATGAGTTAAGTTTTTCTAAATTTTCTCTTTAGAAAATTCATAACACTACTCTTATCATGAATTCTTCCATGTGGTGAGTGTAAACTTGGCTTACTTCAATCCTTTGAAGTGGTGCTACATCAATACTTCCTCCTTCTTGGTTTCTATTTGCAATTTTCCTCCTTCTTTTTGTTAGAATACGTTATTTGAAGCATATATCATGGCTGGTCTACCTCTTGGAGATCCAATTCTTTGGTCTTTATTGAAGATCTTCTCAAGAAACACATCAACAAGGGGAAGGAGTTTAAGTGGAGCAGAGAATGTGAAGCTAGTTTCCTAGAGCTAAAGGTGAAGTTGACTTCAACACCTATGTTAGTTCTACCTGACCTGGAGCAGAAGTTTGATGTGTATTATGATGTGTCTAGGCATGGACTTGGGTGTGCTTTGATGCAAGATAGGAGAGTAGTTATCTATGTCTCAAGGCAATTGTGCCCGCATGAAGTCAACTATCTGACGTATGATTTGGAGTTAGCCGTAGTGTTGTTTGCTCTTAAGGTATGGAGGCATTACCTTTGTAGAGGTGTTCAGCGATCACAAGAGCTCGAAGTACCTGTTTGATCAGAGAGAACTAAACATGCGACAGAGGAGGTGGATGGAATTCCTCAAGGACTATGATTTCACATTGTCTTACTATCCTGGCAAGGCAAATGTACTAGCCAACGCTTTGAGTCAGAAGTAATTGCACGTGGCGGTTATAATGATGAAGGAAATGGACTTGATTGAAGAGTTTTGGGACATGAATCTAGCTGTGAAGGTAAGGCTAAGGAGCTTGTATGTCGGGACGACGATCTACAATGACTTCTTGGTGTATGTTCAAGAGGCACAGCAGGGAGATACTTTCCTGCAAGATATGATGAGGCAAAAGAGTGAAGGGAAGGACTTAGAGTTTCACTATGATGTGAATGAGGTGATTAAGTTCTAAGACCTATTGTGCATTCCCCAAGTAGATAAGTTGAAGTAGATAATACTTGAGGAGGTGCATAAGAGTAGGATAAGATTTTCACCCTAGTACGACCAAAATGTACCAGAACCTCTACAAGAACATTTGGTAGAATGGGATGAAGAAGGATGTGGCCGAATATGTGGCTAGATGTCTGACTTGATAGGAGGCGAAGGTGGAGCACTAACATCCACCTGAATTATTGCAACCTTTGGAGATCCTTAAGTGGAAGTGGGCCAACATTTCCGGGTTGCCGAGGACCAGAAACAACCATGATGCCATTTGGGTGATAGTGGATCGACTGACCAAGGCTGCACATTTTCTCTCGATCAATATGAAGTATAAGCTAGAGAGATTGGCGGACATATATGTGAGGGAGATGGTCAGGCTGCATAGAATGCCGACTACTATAGTATCTGATAGAGATCCGAGGTTTACCTCGAAGTTTTAGAAGAGTCTGTAAAAGGCGTTGGGCACTAAGCTGAGACTTAGTTCAGGTATTATCCATAGACCGACGGTCAGACGGAGAGGACCATCCAATCCTTGGAGGATCTATTGAGAACTTGTGTGATCGAGCAACAAAGAACTTGGAAAGAATGTTTGCCATTAGTGGAGTTCACGTACAATAATAGCTTTCACGGCAGCATTGGGATGACACTATTTGAGGCTTTGTATGGACGAAAGTGCATAACTCCTCTGTGTTGGTGGTATGAGACTAGAGAGGCAACTCTGTGTGCATTGGACATGATCCAGAAATAGAATGAGCATATCAAGATGATCGGAGAAAATATCAAAGCTACACAAGATCGACAGAAGATCCACTAAGACAAGAGGAGGAAACCTTTGGAGTTCCAGGTGGATGACCATGTGTTTTTGAAGGTCTCACCTGTGACCAGAGTTGAGAGAGCTCTAAAGTCCAGAAAGTTATCTCCTAAGTTCATTGGGCTATTTAAAGTGCTGAGTAGATTTGATTATGCAGCTTACCTGATAGCACTACCTTCAAATTTCTCAAATCTAGACCCAGTGTTTCATGTGTCTTAACTCTAGAAGTATGTGCCGGATCCCTCTCACGTTATTGATCTTGACTCGATTCAAGTGAGAGAGAACTTGTCCTATTATGTGTACTCGGTGAGGATTGCAGATCACCGTGTTAAGTAGCTGAGGGATAAGGAGATCTTACTAGTGAAGGTAATATGGAGCTCGAGTGATGAGGGAGATGCCACATGAGAAATGGAGAGTAGAATGAGAAAGTTGTATCCGAGATTATTTGTATAGTTTGGTTGAATTTCAGGGATGAATTTCCTAAAAGAGGGGACAGTTGTAACGCCCCAAATTTTATAATATTAATTGATTATTAATATAGGTATGTAGAATTATTGTTTGGATGTACATTTTGATTTATATGATACTAATGTGAATATATGCATATGTGTGTGTATGATCATGTGTGGATGGACACGTAAATATGAATGAAAATGTTTGACTAGTGGTTGGATTGGGTTTAGATATATTTGGATTGATTGGAAAAACAAGCTAAGTGTGTGCTGTAGGGGTATTTTTGCCGTAGAGAGAAGGCCCTGGGCAAATGACATGATTTTGTTGCGTTCTCGTTGTAGCGAGAGGCTCCTCGCTGCAGCATGAGGGTAACAGAGGATAGTGCATTTCTGGGTGTAGTCTCGCTATAGCGAAAGGGTCTCACTGTAGCGAGATTATGCAGAAACTAGAGTGTTGTTTCTTCTGATATTTTCGCTGTAGCGAGAAGAGGTCTTGTTACAGTGAGAATGTCTCGCTGTAGCAAGAGTGTCGCAACGCCTAGAGTATTTGAGGGGTTTAGGTTTCAGGAAACACATTCCCACTCTTTCCTCTTCATTTCTCTTTCGATTCTCTCAATTCCCAGCCCTATTTCACTGATTAAACTGCCTCTAAAGCCATTTGTGAGCAAGTTTGAAAGTTGAGGTTGTGTTTGGGATGTTTGGAGGTAAGTTTTATGAGCTAGGATTTTGGTCTTTTGTCCCTTTCTTCGTTTTCTTGGTTTCTCATGGAGATTTTCTATGCATTTAGGATGAAACACTGTGTGGGGAACGTTTTCCACCGTTAGATTGTGTCGGATCTTTAATCCGAGGTAAGGAGGAGCTCTACCCTATCTCTTTGCATTAAATGTCATTTATATTGTTGAGTGTTAGAATGTGATTGAGATAGGATGTAAAAACATGTGTGTTTTGATGGACATTTTGTGTTGGGCATAACTTATTAGACGTTGGCTGATATTGTGTGATAAAATGACTCTAATTGTAATAGGATGGTAATGGGAATCATGATGTGATTGATATGTGTGAATTTGCCATTGATTAAGAATGAATACTGTGAAATAATTGAGAATGTAGATGAATATGTGTGCATGACATGTTAGTTGTGTTTGAATATGTTGGAAAACTATGAATGGTTCAGCGATACACTGGGGGTGTGGAAGATGGGGGCGGTAGAAATACCTTGGAGAAGAGAAGATGGTGGTGACACCAACAGTGAGCATGGGTGCACCACAGGCCACACACTTTTATCCTGATTCAGCCTCTGACTAACACCCTTGCTAGGGGCCCCAGCACCGTACATAGCATCGTACATGTTGTAACCGTGGAGCGGGGGTTATCTGGCGATCATCCATGGTGTGAAATTGAATAACTCCCTGAGGTTGAGGGCATCAGAAATTTGTGATCACAGTGACACAATGAGCATGACTACGTGCAGTGGCGCACATGTGTGTGGATTGTTTGATGGTGCAGTGAGCGCACCTATTTGTGAATTGAAATGGAATGTTGAAAATGTATTATTTTACACCTGTTGATGTGTGATTGAATAATGTTAGAAAGGTGTGTAAGGTGTGAGGTGAGTCTTTGTGCTTGTGTGTAATAGTGTAAAGTACTCACCCTTATATTTATTTTTCACGTGACCAAGATAATTAACACAAGGC